CAGATACGGCCATTTCTTCTGGTCACTGCACTTGTCAGGCAGCTCAGCCTTCAGTTCACCTCCCACTGTATCAAAACATCGGCACAGCTGTCCCTGCTCCCCTGCTGACTCTGAAATTCCAGCTCCATCTGTCAGAGGAGAGGGGGCAGGGACACACGAGCCCCACCAGTTCGGGGAGCCACAGGTAAGGAAAAAGTGACACAGACTGCTGTCTGACCCCCACGAAACAGAGCGTGCCACTTCCCCACGCCACAAGCAAAGCCAGCAGCAGGGAGCAGAGCCCCTGGAACACGCTGTGGGCCCGGGCATGGCAGGGCTCCAGCGGGAGCCCCGGCGGGTCACCCGCGGCAGCGCAGGAGAGGCACCGAGCAGGAGCCCGTGGCAGATGGGCACAGGGAAACTTCGGAAACCTGTTTCTGCTGTTCCTCGAGCCATACAAGGGAAATTTTTATTTAATCCGAGAAGAGTTTTAAACCGCACGCCAAAAGTAACGGAGGTGTCTTAACACGGCGTTTGCCTTGGCTGCACGCCCAAGGAGCAAAGAGCCGGGCCCCGCGGGGGCACGGCCGGGCCATGTGCCGGCCACGGGGCACCGGGAAACACGGCTCCGCTCAGCGGGGCGGCTGCCGCCCTCCACTACGAGCGCTTGCCCCACAGACGCCCCCGCCGCTCCGGGGCCGTGCGCACGGGGCGCGGCCGAGCCCCGGCACGGCCCCGCCCGGCCCGGCCGCGGCACCGCCTCGGCGCCGGCCCGGCGGGTCCCCGCAGGGCTGCCACCGCGCTCAGGGACGGCGGAACCCCGCGGCACGGAGCCGCCGCGCCAGGCGGGTCCCGGCTCCCCGCGCCCGCCCCTCAGGGCCCCTCCGGTCCCGCTGCCCCGGCCACACCTTGTCGTGCCAGGCGGAGTCGCTGCGCAGCGCTTTGCCCCACACGGAGCCGCGCCCGGCCGCGCCGCCGTTGGCCACCGCGTGGTGCTGCGGGTGCGGCGGCTCGTCCCGGCGCCGCCCGCCGCTCATCCCGCTCGCCGGGATCCGCCGGGATCCTGCGCCGGGATCCGCCCGCCCAGCGCGGAACCGGCCCGGCCCGCCGCGCGCCGCCAATCGCCGCGCGGGCCCGCCGCACGTGACACGGGCGGGGCCGCGCCCGACGGCGG